AACACCCACCTTTACAGATTTCCAACCAGAAGATTGTGACCTGCCCCCTAGTGGTTGTTGCGGAACATTTCACAAATTAACATTAGCCTACATGTTAGGCTAATAGAAATTGCTATTTAGTTAGGCAAAATATACTATTGACAGTGTTAGTAGCTTAAGTTCGGATGCAGAAGTAAATTTATGTTCATTAATAAAAACGCCAACATCTGTAAAAATTGTAACGACCTATTATTTTAGGGTGAAATTTAAATATGACTGTTTGAATTGGGATTCAAATTAACCATTGGTCTTCCATTATGTTTACTGAATAAAATTAAAAGTATTTAACCTAGGTGGCTACAACAACAGTAGGCCTAGATTAATTTTCTTATAAAAAAACAACACTTTATCGTAGCCTAGCTATATCATACAATTTATTTTTGCATTTGTGCCACTGAAGAAAAATACATAGCCAATAGGCCTAATATAACAAAATCACAACACTTAATTGCAGTTTATTTGTTTATTTCTCATCTTATTTCACATTCAAGCCTTTGAAATACATTAGATATCCTGAAAAGGAAGCAAACAAGATCGAGCAACTTGAATACAAACTTCGCAAGTAACCAAACTCACTGCGAGCCACAGAATGATGTGATCCATTCAACATGACAAACACTTACATGACGTCATCATCTCACGTGTGAGAGTTCGCAGGAAGAATGTTCAAGACCTCCACAACGTAATGTGGGCAGATGATGTTTTAGCACCGTTTCACCAAAGGGGACGATGAAACCATTACACAGCTGTCGGAGTCATAAAGCCACTTGTCTTCTCTTCCTTGAGACTGCAAGCGTGAGTGGAAACAAGCCCTCCATTTTCCATCAAGGAAAATAATTTATGCATAGGCCTACTGAGAAAACAGTAATAGTGGTTTTGACATTTACTGCTAGCACAAAAGCATTTATTTTAAGTGTGCTCTATGAAATGTGCACTGTATATGTAGCAGTTGCATTTTGTATTAGACCTTTATAGATTACAGAATGATTGCTTCTCTACGGATTAATTATTTGCCTAAGTATTATTGTAGATCAAAATTTTAAAACAGGACCCATATTGCTTTACATAGAGCAGTTCCACTTCTTTATTTGAACTGTGGCAGTTGCCAAAACTTAGCCACTATGTTAACAGACTGCCTTAAGTCTGACTGCCAATTTGTATGGAAGCTTGTTTCCGCCAAGAAATAAACATCACAGTTCTGAAGGAGAGGACTATTGCGGGTTATACAGTTGAAATTTCGAGAAACAAAGTCCCCAGCAAGCAATTTTAAGTTTAAAAGACGTCTAATAGCTGTCCAAACACAGCCTAGACGTCTAGGCTAAAACAAAGCAAAATTTGGGCTGTCAGTGAAAATGTAATAGACGTCTAAACCATAGCCCAAGAATAGACTAGTCATCAAGTAGATAAATGAAATGAGTGAAGAAATGAAACCAATCACCTTGTAATCACTGTTTACTTTGCTTGATGGAATATCATACATATGCAAGTTATTTAGGCAAAAACTACATGAAACTACCAAATTCAAGGTTATTTTGGCTAGAAGTGGGTTACACATAGCCAAACTATTATAGTCTATTCTATAGTTAACGTAGACGATGGAATGCCGGCTATTGCTTGCTGGATCAAAATTGCGAGAAAAAAAGAGTCAGTTTTCTCAGAATTGTGAGAGAAAAAAAAAGTCGCAGTAACCTTTTTTTTATACCTCACAATTCATTGTGCAATTCCGAGTTTATACCTTCTACCAGAATAGCAAGTTAATAAACTCGCATTTGTGAGTTATAAAACTCGCAATTCTGAGTAAATGTCAGTATTGTGAGATATAGGGCCTAAACTCGCAATTAAGCAATTGCAAAACAAGCTTCCACAGAAACAAGTTTGCCAGGGAATAATCAGTCTTATTTTTTCGCATTCAAATTATACCAATCTACGCTTTTATGTAACAGTTATGAACCGTCTTATAGAGAAAAAAATATATAGATAGATAACTCACTTGTAAGATTAGTTTAAGCATTTTATGCAGCCCGGCTACTGAGCCTAATTACATTTTTGTTGGTCTGAGTGGGTTTTGGAGATTAACTGTTTGGCCAAGATTCATGTTAGTAATGCAGACAGTATGACGAGTTTTGAAAAAGTGGCTTCAGTATTGAACAATGCTTGTTAGCTATAAAAAAAAAAAAAAAACTGTAACAGACAAACCAAACAGATACATTCAAGTGCAAGTTAAAAGCAGATACACCTGGTGAGATGAATCAAATCAGCAGCAACATTTTTCATGCCGTTTTGGAATGTCTAGCATGCACGCGAGGCTGTAACATATGGTATTAAATGTTGTCTAATCAAACTTTCTCAATGAACGAGTCATGCATACAAGCTTCCACTGTAAAGTGCTACTATAACAATAGTTTTAAAGTAAAGATAAAACCTTGGACCTTACATAGAGGGTTATAAGTTTTAAATCACAAACATGGTATTTACAGGTTCACACGCGCCTAATTGTGAGGAAATAATGGTCCCATTTAATCAGAATAAAGCAAACGCACATACAAAACCTAAAAATGCAGTGCAGATTAAAATTAAATGTGTTTGCACAATAAAAAAAATCATTCAGCAACAAATTATGTGATGAAAACACTACTGTACATCACTGATTGGCCAATAGAGAGCAGTGATGTGCAAAACCACAATGACATTGTCATTCCAGACAACATACTCACCAAGGTATGCAAAGCACAAGTAATAATATTAGCAAACAATTCTTTACATTCAGGGCTACAACGAAAAACCAAATATTTTAAAATGCAGAGAAGTCTAACACAATTAACTCCTTTAGAAATCTAATACTGAGAAAAAAAATCCATTTCCTAAGCAGAACATTTTCAGTCTCTATGGCTATGAAAGATAAAAATATAATCTGAAAATAAACACAAGAGCACAGATGTGTTTAATGCATGTACAACTGCTTAACCCTGAACAAAACATTTAATAAAACAAAACAAAACACCATAAACCAGCTTAAGATGGTTCTCTGGTCTCGTCCAATGTGGTCTAGCTTGTTTAAGATGGTCTTGTTGGTATTCTAGACAGGCCAACTTGCCGTTGGCTAGTTGGTCTCCCAGTCTGACCACCTGACAAGTGCCTAAAACCTGTATGAAACCAGTAAACCAGGCCAGCAAACCAGCTTAGGTTGTTTGTTCACCAAGGAAGTGGTTGTTTTAAAGGGGTCCTAGTTATCAAGAGTGAACCTCATCGCATTTGGTTACTTTAAAAGTAGATGTAAGGCTCAAACAAACAGCGAGCAGTCAATAAAACCCCAAGCTGACTGCTTTGAATGAACTTCACACAGTGGCCATGGCAAATTCTGCTCTTCGGGCAGCAGTCAGAGTGAAACATTCATTTGGTCTCGGTCCAAACTGCAGCCTGAGTGTCCCAAAATTTCATTCTCTCAGCCAGCGGTGACCCTGCACTCAGTAATGAGGGAAAAAAGCAGTGTACAATACAATCAATGGTGCCATTAAACTCTTGAGGTCAAACCGCAATGCTCTGAAACGATGCACAGCAGCATGGATCCATCTAGAACTTGTCATTCCTAATATCTGTGGAGACTACTGAGCATTAATAAATCTTTGGCTGAATGTAAATGTCCTGCTATGAGATGGATGTGAGAACCCTTTCATCCTCCCAAGCCTTTATTTCTCCTGAGTTGAGAGCGAGCGAGACAGAAAGCAAAGTCAAAGTGGCTTAGCTGTACCCTGTGCGTTAGAAAGACGACAATACAAGAGTATCATTCGCAGGTTTGCAGAACCTGATAGCAGAGACATAAAACAGACATTTTCCTCAGTAGTAAAGTTTAAGACTAACAAAAATGTCAACAAAAATGGCTTCTAAACTTAAATTGTTACTAAACGAGAGGTCACATTAACAAAATGTTTGCCAATTTTCACGAGCAAAAATGGTCCAATGCAGTCCAATTTCTGTGTTGGTAAACGTGGCGTATTCACACGTACAACTGGAATCTGTTGTGAAATCTGCATGGGGAAAACTTTTGCCCTCACAAAGTCCCAGATCAATTGAATTCCTATTGAATTGACTGAATTTTGCCTGCAAAAATCTGCTGAACAATGGTAAATATGACTGCAACTTAACACTGATAAAATATGGTGAACGTGATTTCGCCAAGTACAACATGTTCCTGGATCAACATCTTTGTTGATCCTGGAGCAACATTCCAATCAACCAATCAGATTTGAGGGACAAGTTTAGAGTTTATGTCAAGTTTATTCTTGCAACCGGGGTTAGGTGCTTCTACATCAGTGTTATTCACCTATCATTTCCCTCGGATTAGTTATGGGTAGGGTTAAGATTAGTAGTAGGGATAGCCTAGGATTAGGATGTGTATCTGTGTTCACACTTGGCATGTTTGGTTCGATTAAATCAAACCCTGGTGTGATTTCTCTGTTAGTGCGGTTCATTTGAATAAGTGTGAAGGCTAGAATCCGAACCCTGGTGCGGACCAAAGCAGCGGACCGAGACCCATGTTTTCAGCTTCCAAACAAACTCTGGTGCAGTTCAACTTAAATATGAACGCGGACCAAAGACATGTAAACGAACCAAAAACAAGATGCGACCCTAAAAAGAACAGAATGCTCAAGCATACCTGTATTTTCTTGTCTTAGTTGCAATGTTGCCCATCACAGTTTGTCGTGTGTGTCAGGGAGGGATTCCTGCCGCTGTTTTGACTCCTTTACCCATATTACAAGCTCTTCAAGAGTTGTCAGCTTCATCATATACCATCATATATAAACACGTACAGCGAGAGCCAAGCACACAGCATTGTTTTGGAAGTTCGACAAATTCCTTTCGCAAAATATACGTCATAAAAGACGTGTTTTGTTGTTTTGTATCTTTAGGTTTCTGTGTTAAAAATGACCAGTGAACTAGCCTAACCGAACCAGGACTAAATGTATTGTTTTCTTTTTTTTGGTCTGGACCAAAGGAACCAAGAGAACCGAACTACAAGTGTGAACACACCATACTTTTTCAGACAGGAATGTTGTTCCAGGATCAAGAAAATATGTTGATCCAGGAACATGTCTTACTTGGCAAAATCACTGTGGCCAATAAAAGAGAGAATATAAAATCAAATCCTCAAGCGTATGTAGCAAAAACACATCATTTAGGAACATCAAAGCTGTGGATCGTGTAACATTCTGAGAGGAGCGTACGCACCAAACCTTGCGAAGGAAACCTCTATTCTCTCTCTGATTATGTGATTGTTTGAAGGCAAGCATGAAAATCTGGCTCTGAGAACGAGGGAGGTAGAGAATTTGCTTCAATTGCGATCATCGTATCATTCGTGCTCCTACAATCTGTTCCCCTTCTTCTGTCATTCAGTCGTGGCGCCAACCCAGCCCACCCAATTCAGACACACTGTCCCACTCTCTCACTTTATGGTGTCATCACTTCCACACGTGCGACCCAAGCATTTGATTTGAACCGGGAGCAGCCGCCCCGCCCATGGACTGACCGTATCCCATCACGTTATTGGCACTGTAGAAATTCACTCCTGCCATGTGTTGAGTCATCTGTGAGAGAGACAGCAGAAACGGTTATTACAGGCAATTAAAAGAAAGTAACGATGACACTTACATTTGTTGATTTCATTTGTTCTCCCTCATGTCGTTCCAAACCTGTGGGCTTTTTTTTTCAGTGGAAGACAAAAGGAGAAACTTTATACTGGTTATTTTTGTCAATACAGTTGCAATTAATGGGGACCAAAGCTTTCATGCTTCAAAACCACTTCAAAAAAGTATCATAACTGTAGTGTATACAAGACATGTGCATCTTCAGAAGCCACACGACAACTTTGTGTGAGGAAAGTAATATATCAATATATAATAATAAACTTTAGTTTGTGTGTAATGTTGCGGTTTGTGTGTAAAAAAGATCGCTAACACACGCTAAGCGCTGCCAATCACAACACACTGGGCTAGCTAACCAATCACAGCACATTTCGTATTTTGGAAGTAGGGGCTTCATCAAAACCGGGACTAAACAACACGTTCAGCACAGACTCGGGAGGGAGCTGTAATAATGTAAAATATGTGAAAAATAATGTGTTTTTGAAGATTCAAGCATGAAATCATATTCCAATACACCCCAAAAACAAAATCAAGACTTTGTAAAAGGGCATAGTAGGACCCCTTTAAAAGATGTACAGTTTATGTCCATGACTTAACTTTAAAATCATTTTTTAATTTGACCTCTTAATTGTACATTGACAAATGTTTCTTGTTACCAGTGTTTATCATAACAAAAAATATTGGAACATTTAAAAAAAATTCAAATATTAGGTAAAGTCAAAGTCAATGAACAAAGAAACCCATAAAAAGTTGCAGGTCTGTTAGTTTGCAGTAGTCTGTTATAAATTTTCCAGGTTTTCCAGGTTTTCCAGAATGCGTGGGAACCCTGAAAGTTTGGGGAATGGGGACAGTAAGATTTTATAAATGTTTTTGAAAGAAGTCTCGGTAACGCTTCCTTTTACAGTACAGTACTTACGTGTACTTACCTAGAAAGTACTGGCTAATATAAGTTAAGTACATGGGTTAGGGGTAGGTTCAGGATTAGTACCTAGTTATTACCCAGTAATTATAATTACTATAATAAGTACATAGTAAGTACATGGGTAACAGGACTGTAAAAGGAAGGGTTACCGAAGTCTCTTATGCTCACCAAATCTGCATTTATTTGATCAGAAACAGAGTAAAAACAATAATATTGTTAAATATCATCACAATTTAAAATACCTGTTTTCTATTTTAATATTTTAAAAAATGTCATTTATTCCTGTGATTTGAATTTTCAGCATCATTACTCCAGTCTTCAGTGTCACAAGTCATGAAATTCTAATATGCTGATTTGCTGCCCAAGAAACATTTCTACTTATTATTAATGTTGAAAATACATGATACATTTTATTCAGAATTTTTTGATGAATAGAATGTAAAAAAAAAACATAAATTTTAAATAGAAATCTTTTGTACATTATAAATGTCTTTACTGTCACGTCTGATCTCTTAAAGGCATCCTTGCTGAATAAAAGTATTCATTATTTTTTTTTTTTTTTAAACAGTGTTGCTATATTCGATTTGTGACTAAATCTTTTGAGTCAGATGTTTTCAATCAGTCTTTGATCTGCTTCACAAAATTGCTCTCAATGATCCATTCACAAATGTGATTGATCCGGTTTGCAAGTTCAACTCAGTGATCCGGTCTCTGCAGTTACCACTGCTTTGAATGAGGAACATTATCACTGGTAGAACATTATCAGTGAATACCAACTCAGTTGTGTGTGAGAAACAAACCAAAATGTATCATTTGAAATATGAAGGGTTAAAAGGGCACATGAGTCATTTTGATTTTTTTGTTGTTGTGCTTCAGCAGTTTCTTTTTAAGCATGAAAGCTCCAGTCTAATCATGATATCTGAATGGAAAAAACAATCAGTACATTCTTAAAAATATATTATTTTGTGTCCACAGAAGAAAGAAAGCCATTCAGGTTTGGAACATCATGAGGGCGAGTAAATGATGGCAGACTGTTTTTTTGGTTCACTATCCCTTTATTGTGTGTTCTTGAAGTATCAAACCCAAAACAAACTCAAAAACGGATTTCAGTTGAATGTGCCTAAAATGATTTGGGCTATCAGTGTGAAAAAAGCCTAAACTATTTGCTCAGTTTCAAGTCAGCATGGTGATGGTGATTCCAGCGCTTGTTACCTGGCTGATGTTCCACTGCATCTGTTGGGCTCCATATGCCTGCTGAGGAACTGCTGCCATGCTTCCCATCATCCCATTCTGCATTCCTATTACGCCCCCCTGCACGCCTGCCATGTACGGAGGAGCAGCTGGCACTCCGGTCGGCGGCATGACACCTGCCTGTCCCACTATGTTCATCTGTGGAGCCATCATAGGCCCCATCATGCCCTGCTGGGCAGCCAGGGCCTGGTATTGGCCATAGCCTGCAGCAGGGACATAGCCCATCTGGGTTGCTCCCATGTACATGCCAGCTAAAACAGAAACATATAAACATGCATCAACAGAAAAGAGCCATATTTTGAGTGAGTCATTTCAAATTTGCCTTCATCCTGAAACTAATCTCACCATGAGCGGCCATGTTTGTTTGTGGCGCTGTACTGCTGTACAGGGACAAGATTGAGTCCTTTGACATCTTCTTTCCGCTGTCCTCGCTTTTGGTGGGGGGATCCAGGAACAGGCTGAGGTTTTCGGGCACTGACGCTGCTACCCGTCCAGTGGGCATGGACCCTGAGTTAGACTACAGTGGTGGAAAAAAAAACACTTCAACTATTTGGTTTACCCTCTAAAGATGGATTCAAGATAGCAAAACAAAGTTAGGACTGAAGTGAAAACTCAGTGAACGTCTTTACCGTGCTCCTGGCGGAGTTTGAGCTGCTGACGGCAGCAGGCAGAGAGGTGAAGAGGTCAAGGGCGGGGCTAATTTCAGTGCTCTGTTTGCCATTGGACACGGGAGCTTGAGGAGCTAGGGCATCTGGAAAAGAGAGTTTCAATATCAAAAGTCTATATTGTGGTTGTACTGATATGTATGATGTGTATTTTAGCACGTTACCTAGCCCTAGTAAGTCATTAACAGACTGTGACTGCTTTTTTGGAGTGTTTTTGAATTGCTGTGGCTCGTCTTTTTTCTGCAAGAAAAACAAACATAGTCTTACTCATGCGTTAATGATAAAAACATCACTTTGTTATTTTAAAGGGGTCCTATTATGCTTTTGTACATTTTCATTTAGTGTGTATTGTTGCTGGTTGAACATGAACAAGGTCTGCAAAGTTACAAAGCACAAACACTGTTGAAACACCTCGATTGTAGTCTTGAGTTTTCTTTTGGGAATATACAAATAATATAGTTTAATAATTCCCACCCAAGGTATGGGACAAAAAAGGAGCGAGTTGCGATAGTGGTGTGTTGAAACTTGCAGTTATGGTAAGAGGCCTTTTTTTATGGTAAGGGACATTTCCGAAACACACTCAAAGTACTTGACCAATCACAACACACTGATCCAGCTGACCAATCACAGCACACTGTGCTTTTTGGAAGATGGGGCTTCATAGAGACCGTGTTTCTGAAAGACTGGGAAGCAAGGTGCTGCAATAAAATGTCAAAAATATTGTTTTTTTGAATAATCAAGCATGAAAACCAATTCTAGTAGACCTGAAAAACTAAATTCAGACTATGGAAAAGACCATAATAGATCCCCTTTAACAAAGTTGTGTAACTGTCCATCAATGCATGTCAACCCAGAAGGCTCCATCAGGAATTTCTAATGTCTTCATTATAATGAAAGTGCTTTGTCAATATTTTCAGTTTTTGAGCACGGGTGTTCAATATAAGGTTGGAACAAGACGTAAGTCTCTTCAAGTAATATTAACCTAAGACCCATTTGTACTTGTAAAATCAAAACCTGCTATTTTAAAAACCATTAGAAATTCCTGAGAGAATGCATGGTTTAAAAATGCTAACTCTCTTCTGGGTTTTAGGTCTATAAACTGGTGGTTCTCAACCAGAGGGCCAGGACCCACTACTGAGCCTCAGGAAACTTCCAAGAAAACCTCAAGATGAGTATCATGAATAACTGAAAAACTATTGGTTTAATTGAGGAACATACAGTTCTTGAAACTTCTGAAATCACTCACAGTTTTAATTTAATTTATCAATACTTCCTGTTTCCATTAATAAAAAAAAATTGAAAAGCTGCTTTGTCTAGAGCAGTTATTTATCATTCACCAGACCCAATATTGGGGAGCATTCAAGTAAAAAAGGTTGAAAACCACCGTTTTAAACAGAACAGCTCAATTGCACAAATGCAGAAACCCACCAGCTTCATCTTTTCAAAAACAACAGGAGCCTCTTTCGTTACCGTCTCACTCTTTTCTTTCTGAAAATGGAAAGGAAATGAACTTTATTCTTTTTCAAAAATCAAACTAACAATAAAACTAAAATGAGAATTGTATAATTACAAAATCTTTGGACTTACCCTAAAGGACTGGATGTCAATGCATTTATCCATATATTTCTTCTTATCATATTTGTCACGGATAAAAATCTCAGCAGCTCTGTATCGCGGTGCTTAAGGAAACTTTTAACATGAGAGGAGAATAATCTTAAACATACATGCACAGTTTTCCACACACGTGCTAAAGGATACTGGTCTGTCTCTGGGCGCTGGAAGCACTCTGGTAAAAAGGCCTCGTATAGTCGCCGAGCTTTGGTGTTCCCCATCTCCTGAACAGACTGAGCACAAACACATCTATATCATACAGATCATGATCAAATCAGAAACAATGCCCTTTCTACTGGAAACCTTGGTCCAAAAAGCTTACCTGTATCTGCTCATGAGTCCACTGGTCCAGGTTTACAGATTTAACTCGTGATATGTGCACGCCAAGATTCCGATGGATTCCCGCACAGCGGATACAAATGAAGATTCCAAGATTCCAGGATGCCCATCTGGGACCTGATGGGCAAAAAATGAAGACATTAGAGAAATTAGATATTTAATTAGGACGAGTTTTATCTACCTTTTTTTATTTCTAAGACTATTAAATTGTATTAATAATTAATACTGAAATGGTGTCATCTATTTAATGTGTATATATATATATATATATATATATATATATACGTATATATAAATGTCCATGGTGGAAGAGCAATTAATTTCCCAGAATGCTCTAATTTATTGAAAATATTATATATGATATAGGCTAACAGTATTTTTTAAAAGAAATGTATACTTTTATTCACAAAGAGTGCATTAAATTGATCAAAAATGACAGTAAAGACATTTTGTAACGTAAATATTTATAACGTAAAACTTCTATTCATCAAAAAAAAAAAAAAAAAAAGATCAGTTTCCACAAAAATATTAAGCAGCACAACTGCTTTCGACATTGATGATAATAATAAGAGAAAAGTTCCTTGAGCAGCAAATCAGAATGATTTCTGAAGGATCATGTGACACTGGAGTAATGATGCTGAACATTCATCACATTTGAAAATGTTAAAATAGAATTTTATAATTGTGATAATATAGATACATTACTGTTTTTTGATCAAATAAATGCAGCTGTGGTGAGCAGAGCACAAAAACGTTCAAAAATCTTATCAACCCAAAACTTTTGTGAATATATTTATTGAATAACTATAATCATATTTTTATGTATATAATCAACTATTATTGTAGAAATGGATTGGAATTTTGACGCTAATATTATTATTTTTTATAAAAGTTATACAATTACAGATTTCATTATGCTTTAAAATGCGGCAAATTCTTCTTCCTGTCATTCAAATTCAACTTCCTGTGGAGTGTGGACAGTTCAATTCAAATTCCATCTCATGAACTGAAACGGAGCCGATTCTTAAAACCACAATTCAGCCCGACCCTCGCTGAAGCAATTTAATGAGTCAGTGAAGGAGAGAATGGACAGAAAAACACAGACGGAAGGCAGCGAGAGATAGAGAGGGCGCCTGCTGAGGAGTGATATTTACATTCTCTTGCTTGGCATTAGTAAAGAAAATAACAAGCTTCACACACTGCAATCACTAATCCAGTTTGGCCAGTCATGTGGACACGCTGGCACAACGCTGATAACACACACCCACCAGGCCCTGCAGCATCTGTACTCTTAAATCACACACACAGGCGCTCAGTCATGATAAAGCCCACACTACCTGCAACAAAGAACCATGCCTGAAGGTGCATATATGTGTAGTTATCACCATTTTTCCCTTTTCCTACTTCAAACACATTATGTAACCGTACTCCGCTGAGACACGAGCAAGCTTCAAAGACGACGCCGAAGACTCTCTCCGAGCACAAGCACTGAGCTTTTCTGCTCTTTTGAAGCAATACCAGTGTTGGCCAGTAGGTGGCAGTACCACATTAGGTTATTGCTCTGGTTGCTCTCCTGATGTGATGTCACTGAGGATTGTTGTGGCAACATTTCCTCTTAATTGCTTAGGATTCTCTGGAACAAGTGCACAGCATTCTGGGACGGTCATACCTGCTGTTTGCAAAGCGCACCTGCTGTGGTTATATTCATCTGAGTGGATCTAATTTGACACAAAATTGACAGTCTAACCTTGAGTAAGCATCAGATGACACGCCCATGGGCCGCTCGCTGACTGTCTAATGTGTACTGCACACACACAACTGAAAATAACAAGTCCTCAGATGATCGTGAGACTGGATTTGACAAAGTTGCCTTGCATTGGATCTTTGAAAAATAGTCAGAGTTTTGTTTGAAAGACTTGGCAAGTTGGAAAGAAAATCGCAAAATAATTTAACAAATTCATTTCATAAAAAAAAAAAAAAAAATCCATTCGGCAATTTCCAATTTTCAGCATTGATAATAATACGAAATTTTATTGATCACTATAATCAGCATATTAGAATGATTTCTGAAGGATCATGTGACTGAAGACTGGAGTAATGATGCTGAAAACTCAGCTTTGCCATCACAAGAATAAATGACATTTTAAAATGCAGGTGAGCATTATACACTTTGGTGACATACTTTAGCCATGAATATATGATGTGTATTTTTATCCACACATTGTCATAGTTATGTTCATGTTGTCATAACTATGTTACACTATGTAGTCACAACAAGCCATATGAGCTTGATTCACTCAAAAGAATCGACTCAAGAGTCATTCATTCAGGAGTCAGACTACACTGGTCATGCTGTATGGTTTTGATTCACTCAAAATAACATTAGTATCACCAAGTAAACGTATTCACACAACATGTATATTTTACTGTATTTTATATTTCAGATGTTAAATCTGTGAAATAATTATCTGGACTTCTAGTTGAGCCATATATATACACATATATATAGATATATAATTATATATATATTTTATTGTGCTATTATTATCTGAGCAATTTCAGATTCACTCACCCCTAAAAAGCACATAAAACAAATTTACTCTAGTCGGGTGCTTTAAATGTCGGTCAGACGGTCTTTTCCTGTGTAAGTGGACGAAAGTAGACCATACTGTATTCTGGAAATCAATGGACAGGCTAGACAAGACCATCTAACCTGGTCTGTTTTAAATATTTCTTAGTACCAAAAAAGCGCAGAAAGCCAAAATTCAATCATGAAATCTGAGATCTAATATTTATTCGGCTACAAACGTGTTGATTTGGCCCTTAATGGAGCACCGGGGCTTCGCTTCACTTCTGCACTATGCACACGGTCACACTCGCATCTGAGATCTGGCATGGACTCTAATGTGAGATGGCCCTGTGCCAGAGGAAAGGGATATTCCCAACGGGATGCACGTTGATTCGCTGCAGCTGTATAAAACACCATTTTCATGAGCTCTTCTGTGCCGCAGGCCTCTTTAGATTACTCATTCATCCCCCACCTACAAATATCCCTCCTCTCTCTCTCTCTCTCTCTCTCTCTCTCTCTCTCTCTCTCTCTCTCTCTCTCTCTCTCTCTCTCTCTCTCTCTCTCTCTCTCTCTCTCTCTCTCTCTCTCTCTCTCTCTCTCTCTCTCTCTCTCTCTCTCTCTCTCTCTCTCTCTCTCTCTCTCTCTCTCTCTCTCTCTCTCTCTCTCTCTCTCTCTGCATGGCTAAGGGGTAATCAGCTTGCGAGGTATTACTGGAGGACGTCAGCTCAGGCACAGGGAGAGAGAGGGTGTTGGATGGAGAACATGTGAGGCTGTAATAAACAGTCATGTGGAGTCAGGCAGGTTTCAGGGTGAATCACAAAAGAGATGCAGAACAGGACGGAGAGATTCACACATGCTGTTCACACTTATTAACCTATTAGAGAGAAGCAACAGTAAGAGCCGGAGAAAAGGACACATGCCATTGCCAAGCCACCTGTTTATTAGTGGTACTTGTTGCTAAGCCAAAATTCACCATGCTCATACTTAGGCATTTGAACCCGGTCAGTGACTCCTGCACTGTTTATGCTACAGAAATGATACCTTGATTATTATTATGATTAGGCTTATGGTTTTTGACCTGGTAGATGATAAAACAATGGAAAAACATCCCATTGACTTACATTGATCACCCTATCTACTGCGTACCAATATATATATGTGTGTGTGTGTGTGTGTGTGTGTGTGTGTGTGTGTGTGTGTGTGTGTGTGTGTGTGTGTGTGTGTGTGTGTGTGTGTGTGTGTGTGTGTGTGTGTGTGTGTGTGTGTGAAAAAGAGGGAAATCACTTTTGGGGAAAAACAAACAAGATGGCATGATGGTCCAGGAACAATACAAGAGAGTTTTGCTGTGTTGTTGTTGATCACGTATGTTGTTTTATGCTTTGCAAATAAAAACTTGAGGTATTTATTTTTTATTTTTTGGTAGACAACAGTCAAGTGGAATTGAGCATCACGGATCAATATTTACTCGCACTGACCTAGTGTTGTCACGATACCAAAATTATTGTTTCGATACCGATACCAAGTCAAGAATTGCAATTTCGATACTTTTTCGATACTTTTCCTGAAAAGGGAGAAACACTCAAATATCATTGCTGTGCTTTATTTTAAAACTGGGACAACATTCCAATCATAACACACTAATAAATGAACATATGAACAGCAGATAGGCTATATTAACCATTTGAACAAAATATGAAAAATATAAAAAATTAATTAGAGCAGCATTATCTCAGTTATCATAAGAAACATAAGATTTTATCAATATCAATGCCACTGACGATTCTGCTTATCGATCCGATTCTTTAACGATTCTCTTATCGATTCATGATAGCACTGTGTGGAAAAAAGTAGTCATATGCTTTTTCGGGGGGAAAAAAAAAGTGTTTTTATTTGTATTATGTAATTTATGTAATAAATGAACTCTTATTACAAAGTGTTAACGATTAGTTATACACCGATTCAGACAGATCAGTTGTTTTAACCATTCATTAAAACGAATCGGTTCAAATGAGTCATTAGTTCGCGAATTGGACGTGTCATTATCGGACGTGTGCGCGTTGTGTGATTATCCAGGCGGTTAGGACATCCCACTGTCATCACAGAAAACATTTCATGACTGGATAGTTTTTTTCGTTTATTTAAAGTGTGGTTTATGTCAGCTGAATGTGCGGAACGATTCAGAGAATATAAGGCAACGTATTTTACCACAATTTACACCCAGCGGTAATTCAGGAAAAAAAAAAACTCCGAATGCTCCACATGAAACTTTAGTCTCCCGACCTTACCATCGTGTCGAATTATTTTGATTAATATGTGCGAGGGCAGGGACGTGCACAGGGGGGTTGCTAAGGTTGCCCGGGCAACTGCCCATATGCCCTTCTCACTCAAGTTGCCCTTCTCACTCAAGTTGCCCTTCCGAGAAAAAAATTAAATCGTACAATGGATGCAGAATTTCACGTAGGCCTAGATTAAAAAAAAAAAAAAAAAAATCGCAAAGCCTCATTCACTTCCATTCGGGCACCGAAAGTGAAAGTCAGTATGAAGGGCA